GAAGTGTCCATTTTAATGGGATATGCGTCCATTTTAATAGGAGAGGTGAGCATTTTAATAGGAGAGGTGACCATTTTAATGTGAGAAGTGTCCATTTTAATAGGAGAGGTGACCATTTTAATGTGAGAAGTGTCCATTTTAATGTGAGAAGTGTCCATTTTAATAGGAGAGGTGACCATTTTAATGTGAGAAGTGTCCATTTTAATGTGAGAAGTGTCCATTTTAATGTGAGAAGTGTCCATTTTAATAGGAGAAGTGTCCATTTTAATAGGAGAGGTGTCCATTTTAATGTGAGAAGTGTCCATTTTAATGTGAGAAGTGTCCATTTTAATGTGAGAAGTGTCCATTTTAATAGGAGAGGTGTCCATTTTGATGTGAGAAGTGTCCATTTTAATGTGAGAAGTGTCCATTTTAATAGGAGAGGTGACCATTTTAATGTGAGAAGTGTCCATTTTAATGTGAGAAGTGTCCATTTTAATAGGAGAGGTGACCATTTTAATGTGAGAAGTGTCCATTTTAATGTGAGAAGTGTCCATTTTAATGTGAGAAGTGTCCATTTTAATAGGAGAAGTGTCCATTTTAATAGGAGAGGTGTCCATTTTAATGTGATAAGTGTCCATTTTAATGTGAGAAGTGTCCATTTTAATGTGAGAAGTGTCCATTTTAATAGGAGAGGTGTCCATTTTGATGTGAGAAGTGTCCATTTTAATGTGAGAAGTGTCCATTTTAATGTGATAAGTGTCCATTTTAATGTGAGAAGTGTCCATTTTAATGTGAGAAGTGTCCATTTTAATGTGAGAAGTGTCCATTTTAATGGGATATGCGTCCATTTTAATAGGAGAGGTGAGCATTTTAATGTGAGAAGTGTCCATTTTAATGGGAGAGGTGACCATTTTAATGTGAGAAGTGTCCATTTTAATAGGAGAGGTGACCATTTTAATGTGAGAAGTGTCCATTTTAATAGGAGAGGTGACCATTTTAATGTGAGAAGTGTCCATTTTAATGTGAGAAGTGTCCATTTTAATAGGAGAGGTGTCCATTTTAATAGGAGAGGTGACCATTTTAATGTGAGAAGTGTCCATTTTAATGTGAGAAGTGTCCATTTTAATGTGAGAAGTGTCCATTTTAATAGGAGAAGTGTCCATTTTAATAGGAGAGGTGACCATTTTAATGTGAGAAGTGTCCATTTTAATGTGATAAGTGTCCATTTTAATGTGAGAAGTGTCCATTTTAATGTGAGAAGTGTCCATTTTAATAGGAGAAGTGTCCATTTTAATAGGAGAGGTGACCATTTTAATGTGAGAAGTGTCCATTTTAATGTGAGAAGTGTCCATTTTAATAGGAGAGGTGTCCATTTTAATAGGAGAGGTGACCATTTTAATGTGAGAAGTGTCCATTTTAATAGGAGAGGTGACCATTTTAATAGGAGAGGCGTCCATTTTAATAGGATATGCGTCCATTTTAATAGGATATGCGTCCATTTTAATAGGATATGCGTCCATTTTAATGTGAGAAGTGTCCATTTTAATAGGAGAGGTGACCATTTTAATGGGAGAGGTAACACATTATTGACTGTATTGACTCATCCATTGATGAGTTCTACTTTTCCCCGACAGACACCATCAAAAGTCTCAAGCTTTACAGGCTTGATACCTTAGTATGATTGAGTAGAGGTAAGAAAGAAGAAGGGAGAGGTGTCTATACTAATAGTGAAGCTAGGTTACAGTAGAGAAAGACTACCTACCTCTTCCCCAGTCTTGTTGACTTCCTCCTCCTCATCGTCGCTATCCTGGGAACACAACCATCGGCAGTTAGACACAACCTCTGCCATTGACACAACGGCCAACACTCACCTCAAAGTACTTCTCATATTCTCCCGGAATGAAATCCTGAAAACAAACAAGATTTGTTAGCATCACAGCTCAGTGGTACTGATTTTCACATGTGTAGACATGTGGTGCACTTACAGTAAAAGCAATTGCCTACTTCTACCCACCTTGATTATCATGGTCTGTACCACGTGTACTAGGGATAAGCAAAAAAAAACATCGTAGTTATATGGAAATATTCCACCACACAATCATAGTATTGTAATCAGCTCTCATTATTTGGTAGATCTAAAAAAAATTGTTCATTTTTTTTATTATAACCAGTTCCCAGACCCTTCAAACCTGTTACTCCAGCCAAAAACGGCTTTCCAAAACATTGCTAAATCAGTAAACTGGCTCCCAGCCTCTATCACAGTACAATGCCCATGTTGGAATTCCTAGGAATGAACTGACAGAATCTCTGGTGAATTTGGAGCTCTTGGCCACCCTGAGGTCAGGAAATCTACCACCCAACTAAACAAAAGAGACCTCCTCCGTACCATCAAAGCCAATGCCAGCAAGAATGGGAATCTACTGCTGCACAAAACTGGTACATAGCAGGATGGACAAGCACCAATTCTGTCCTCCCAAAGAAACAGCAGATTTCCAGACTTAAGACAGACTTTGGATTATATATTATAGAACTACAAGGTCATAAGACCATATGCAAATAAATAGCTGGTGACATTTTGTTGTTACTATCAGACACTACTTAAAAATAATTTTTTCAATTTCATATTTTAAACACAAGGTAATAAGACCAAATCCAAATAAATAAAGTGTGTGACGTTTCGGTAACAGCGTTTATTTATTTGGATTTGGTCTTATTACCTTATGTTTATAATCTACTAGCCGAATGACCCGGGCAACGCCCGTGTTTTACCCGATTGAATGTTTTTATTCAAATACTATTTGTTACAATTATAAATTGGTGCCTTAAATAAGTGCATATATTAGTTAATAACTATAGCCTATGTGCTTTATCTGTCTATGTACTGTTGGCTTCCGTAGGCGTCTCTTACTGGGAAGAAGAAAGAGAGGATTCCATTTAGTTATTAACTAATATATGCATTTATTTAAGGAGCGACCCACTCCAACACAATAGTTACAAAAACCAAAAAGCGAGTGGGGGGGGCATGATGGGGGGGGGGGGGGGGGCAAAGGTGGCGTGATCGTAGCCAACCAATAGGAGAGCGCCATTCCAAAAAAAAAAGCAAACGGTGACAGAGATGAAGGATTAAGAACGCTTGACGCTCGTAACAGTATATAGAATAATCCAAATTGTGCTTTATCAAATTTCATATTTAAAAAAATTGTAAGTCTTTGATGATGTTGATGATGGTACCAACGAGGTAGCCAAAACATAACAACTATTAATTGATTTGGATATGACCTTACTACCTTGTAATGTTTGAAGAAAGATGAAAGTTGGGGTAAACCTCTCTACGAGACGGTGTCACTCTCCATAGAGAAACAACATTTATTGTTAGGAACAATGTAACCATGTTAGGAACAGCCTCAAATTACAGTCAGACTTTCACCAAAGTGTGCCTGGATCATGGTGCTATGATCAACGAAAGCTACAGCCCTACACCCCATTCCGTGTCAGCTCGAGGAGCATGAAATCATGGAATTTGTGTAATATTTACACAAGGGAATAAGAAACAACAACTTACCCAGTCCTCCTCTTCTTCCACCTTTGTCTGGGAGGCTGGAGCCGGGGCGGAGAGTTCACCGTCTTCCTCTGCCTTGGACTCTGTCTCATTCTCCTCCTAGACAGACAGACAGATGTTTACATCCTGGTAATGGCACACATTACCGAAGAGTAAAAAACAATTAAGCTTATACACAGAAATGCGCTTCTATAAATATATTGGGTTGGCAAAATATCATTAGAACAAGCTAAATCAATGTTTAGTTGATTTTTGATCTACTAGATGGCGCTCTTTCGACTAAAATGCTCGTGTGAGTAGTCAGAAAATGCTGAAGATATGCAAAATAGTAAAAAAGTGTAATTTTGGTGATGAAAACTGTCCCATGGAGGTTCTACTGTAAGTCAAACAAAGAGCCACCAGCTTTGGCAAATTCATGAATGGGTAACCTGGGAGTCCAGTGTTTACACCATCTACAAGGAATTTATTAAATCTCCAGAATTTGGCAAAGAGATGTCAAAGTGATGCTGGTTCAATTTTAATCATCCCTAAATTAATGGAGATAGAATTTTTTTTTAGCCGTATAATACCATTGCCTCCAAAGAAGTAAATACCTGGTTTTCAGTCTTATCTTGGACCTCCTCGGAATTTGATTCCTCGGCGCCTTCTTTGTCTGCATCTTCCTCCTGGAAAAACACACACATTATGCAAATTTGTTTGTTCCTGTTTGTTTCTGCCATCTAAAAAGCACATGTGCTCCTGGTCAGGATATGCCATTTTTTATATTGATTTCAACACCTGATCTTTTTATCTTTTATTTTTTTATTTCGTTTTTTAATGTGCTAAGCGTATTTACGCAAGTTTGGCCTTAAATACCCATTTCTTGGTTTTTCAGGAAGCCATTGGGATCAAAAAATATTTTTTGGTCTCAATGGTTCAGCCTACTCCACGCTGACGAGCGCCAAAAAGCGCGAAACGCGTTCGTGGATGGCTTTTCTTGATTTATCAAGAAATTGGGTTGGCCAAATATCAGGGAACAGGCTAAATCAATGTTTAGTTGATTTCTGTTCCACCAGATGGCGCTCTGCCTTCTGTAAAGCACATGTGCTCCTGGTCAGGATATGCCATTTTTTATATATATATATATATATACTGTTAAACCTGTCTATAGCACCCCCCTCTTAATAGCACCTTCCTCTCTATAACGCCCGATTTTAAACGTTAAAATGTAAACTTTTACATTAAAAGTGACCTGTCTATGGCACCCCCTCTCTATAGCACCCTATTTTGGTGAGTCCCAAGAGGTGGCGCTATAGACAGATTTAACTGTATATATAAAGTAGAACCTCTCTGTAAAGGACAACACCTATAGTTGCAGAGCCAAAGTGTCCTTTAGGGAGAGGTATTCGCTCACCAGAGTGTTTCTAAATAGTAAAAATAGCAATTTTTCAAATGAAAAGTTGAGCTGTAGAATGGGGTTGTAGAATGTAGGTGAAAAAAAGGCTGGTTAAACCGTTTGGTTTTCGACCACTACGACCCGGGTTCGATTCCCGCATTGGACACTTTTTTATGTTTAAAAAAAAAAAAAAAAATGCTCCAATGGCCCCCGATTCTTACAAAAATCCAACCCCACCAGCGAGTGCAAGTAACCAAACGGGGCTTTGGCACATTTGTAAGTGCAAAGTCGAACTGCTTTTCACATGTATAGACATGTGGTGCGCTTACAGTAAAAGCAGTCGCTAACTACCCACCATGATTATCATGACTTTGAGATAAGAAAGAAGAAGAAGAAGGTGAAAATTTGAGGTGGAGAGGTATTCTCTAGCAGGAGTGTCCTCTCATGGAGGTTGTTCTACTCTATGACATAGTTTTGTCTCCTTCAATCTCAAATAAATAAATTTAACAATTTTTTTTTTAAAGGAGAGAGAGAGACACAACTTACCTCTTCAGCTTCTTGTGTCAAGTCATCGTCATCCTCTCCATCAAGGGAAGCTATTTTCTGCAACCAACAACATCTCTCCTGACAACTGTGGCCAAACTACAGATATGGATATATTAACCTGAGAGTGGAAAGTGATCTAAAATTTAAAAAAATATGAACAGTTAAACCCGTCTATAGCGCCCCTTCTCTAAATAGTGCCTTCCTCTCTATAGCGCCTGACTTTAAACATTAAAATGTAAACATTTTACATTAAAAGTAACCTGTCTATAGCACCCTATTTTGGTGAGTCCCAAGAGGGGGCGCTATAGGCAGGTTTAACTGTATATATAACTCCGCCTTTGCCGGTCCCAAGCCCGGATGAAAAAGGAGGAGGGGGAGCAGTAACAAGCTTGGTAAAAAACCTGGGTTCAGCTGGCCCGGCTGATAATACCCTGTAAGGGCTCCTAATCCAGGGATACAGGATGAGCAGCGTTTGTACTCCATGTTAGGAGCGGCTGCACATGGCATCTGTTCCTCATGTCAGAGGCGGCCATTTATTTTTTGGAGCTAAGTCGGCCTGCCACTGAGTAGTGCTCCCAGTCTTAATGACAAAGGCAGACACATTTTACTTCACCCAGTGTGGAGATAAGAAAGAAAAAGAAGACTGTATATATATAAAAAAAAAAAAAAAAAAAAAAAGAAGAAAGACTACCACACCTGTCAAAATGAGGACTCAAAAACTATGCACCATTTTTTTTTCCAATCTAATTTGAAGGGAGATATAGACTTCATATCTTTTTTTACACACATTATTAATCTAAACCAGGCCTGGCCAACCCGCGGCCCGCCGTAAAAAATTTTGCGGCTCGCCATTTAACTTTATATTTCTTTTGTAACTTTCATTTCTCGTCTGTATATTCAAAAACAGAAAATATATTGAAATATTATTTTTTTTTATTTAAAATATGTCCCACAATTTTTAAAATACATATTTGATTCCATAAAAAGAGGAAGAAAGAAAGTTAAGAATAATGGCAATTAATTGAGAAATATTTTTAAAAATTGTTATTATTATTTTTGTTTAAAAAAAAAAGCAGCCGAAAAATAATAAATAAAAACATTAAACATCAAGGAAGTATTAAGTATTTTTTTTAATACATTTTAAAGTTAAAATTTTGATATAGTTAAAGTTTTTAGACCTTGTTCTGTGCGGCCCGTGGCGTCATTTAGGTTGGCCAAGGCTGATCTAAATGTATATGTGCTACATACAAAATAAAATACAAAGAATCGCCTAGATCAAATTTTCCTAGACAAAAGTTCCACACAATGACAGTTTGAATATTTGAAACAGGGTCTGATAATTGTGGTATTTACAGATGGGTAAAGAGTGTCCTCTCTTTTAAAAGAATGGGCAAGGCACATATTCTAAAAGATGGGCAGGGAGCAACGTAAGAGAATGGATAAGGGGAGTGTTTACATTTATAAAAAATAAATATTACAAAGATGCTTGATCTGTCCCAAAAATTTGAGTAGAGATTGCTTCATGTGACAATGAAATGACCAAGGAATTTTTTTTTTTTGGCCCAAAAGGATGGGTGAAAAGCATGTTATGCCTTAAAAATAAAAGGCAAGGAGGATCAAAAGTCCCAAAAGGATGGACAAGGATATTCAAGTCTCAAAAGAATGGACAAGGAGGATCAAAAGTCCCAAAAGGATGGACAAGGAGATTCAAGTCTCAAAAGAATGGACAAGGAGGATTAAAAGTCCCAAAAGGATGGACAAGGAAGACTAAAAGTCCCAAAAGGATGAAAAGAAACTTACCTTGTTGATCATCTTGTCCTTGGCGGTCTTCAGAGAGTCCAGCTCCTGTGGTCAGTCAATCAGTTAGTGGACTGGACACTACCAGGTACGGGGATCACTTACCTCCTGGGTGAGACATGCCGGGGGGACAAAGAAAGGTAGCCAGCCTCGTTGCCAGTCGTTGAGGACTTGCTTGGCCACAGTGTTGATGTCCGGCTCTCCTCCCTGCGTTCCACAACATTTATAAAACCAGTGACAAAAGGTTTAGTTGACAATACTGTTTATACAGAGCTATCTATACACCTATCTGTTGACTTGCAGAAAATTGATACAATTGTAGTGATGTGTGCGAAAAACACTAATTATATTCGTCCACAAATGATTAAAAAACTGTCCAGGTAAGAATCGAAGCTAGTATAGAGGGAAGAAGCAGTGTCCAGTTTACCACAGGAGCATATATAGAGGGCAGAAGGAATGTCCAGTTTACAACAGGAGCATATATAGAGGGCAGCAGCAGTGTCCAGTTTACAACAGGAGCATATATAGAGGGCAGAAACAGTGTTCAGTTTACAACAGGAGCATATATAGAGGGCAGAAACAGCGTCCAGTTTACAACAGGAGCATGTATAGAGGGCAGAAACAGTGTCCAGTTTACAACAGGAGCATATATAGAGGGCAGAAACAGTGTCCAGTTTACAACAGGAGCATGTATAGAGGGCAGCAACAGTGTCCAGTTTACAACAGGAGCATGTGTAGAGGGCAGCAGCAATGTCCAGTTTACAACAGGAGCAAATAAAGGGAGAGGACATTTCAACTTACCCTGAGAAGTCTTCCGGACTGGGTAGCGAGGATTTTGAGGAATTCAATGTGGTCGTTCCAGGTCACCCCAGGTTTGATCTTGTAAATGTGACGGATGTACCTCTCATCCACCCGCTGTAGGACTGTCTCAATGTAGTTCTCTGGGTCCTCCACCTTCTCCACTCGCACCTGGCAACAATCATCACAGCGTGTAAATTGGAGAAGATCAACCAGTTTCAAATGGAACAAGTCCATTGAATAAAGAAGACAAATTTTTAAACTTTAGAAGTACTGGCATCCAAAACAATATGTTTTATTTGCAATAAAAAGCCAATTTTTACACTTAAAAACTAATAAGGTACAATTTGGATTATAGATCAGAAATAGGGAACAAGACTGCATCCAAATTAAGAAATTAGGCTGTTACCAAAACGTAATGCACTATTTATTAATCTGGAGAGATTTGGTCTTGTTACCTCTTAGATCTCAGTATAAAACTAAAAGTTGATATACAAGTTAATTCATCAAATACTAGACAAATGACCTGGCTTCATATGGTTAAACAGAACAAACTGAATATGCAAATCAGCTTCTTATCGAACTAATTTGTATATAATATAATACACTGTGGCCTGTGATTGTAAAACGACACTTGAAGCTACACCGCATGAGTTTCTTTTCAATGAAAAATTAAAATTTTATTTCAAGGTGAAATAGACTATTTCTAACCTTTTTGGATGAGGTATGAAAGGGTGAACCATGAAGACTCATCCAAAAAGGTTAGAAATAGTCGATATTTCACCTTGAAATAAAATTTTAATTTTTCATTGAAAAGAAACTCATGCGGTGTAACTTCAAGTGTCGTTTTATAATTTGTATATATTTGCAATTTCCTCACCACTGTGACTTGTGACTTAAACTAGAGTATATGACTTTAAAAGAATGAAGCAAATTTGCATGCTTATAAGAGTTACCATAAATACATATTGGCTAATTGGTGCAAATTGTTTGTGCTTTTCTAAATAATATAAGGTAGTATTTATTGAATTCATCAGGAGAAACTGCTCTCAGCAGGGATTGTACCATCTTGAAGACTATACATTAGCAGTTTTTACATATTTACACATTGGTATAAAGATTCCTAAAATAATTGCAAAGGTATAATCACAATATACCAATATTAAGTTGTTGTTGTTTCTTATCCCCTTGTGTAAAGATTACACGAATTCCATGAGTTCATGCTCCTCGAGCTGTTTTATGATGAGCAGCGGCCTCTCCCAAAGATCCTGTTTAGTGCACCTAATGCAAGCCAAAATGTGTTCTGGAGCTGCAGGTACCAAACTACATTTTGGGAAAGTGGGATAAATTACAAATATCAAGTTAATTGCAATAAGCTTCTTTATTATGTTAAAATGGCAAGTTTTCAAGCATTAGCCAGGCCTTCACCATTTTTGCAAATGCCTACGATATATATAGAGGTGTAGAAGGAATTTACATATGTAAAAAGTTTTGCCAAAATCTAAAATACTTTAAATATTCATCCCAAAAACTGATTTACTACTTATACCAAATATAATAAAAAGCATTTTGAAAAAGATATGTTTTTTAAAAAGGCAAAAAATTATATATTATTTTTTTTTTTAATAATTAAGAAATTGTTGAATGAACAGATAGCAACTACTGGGGCAATTAACTTGATTGGTATATTGTGGATACACTGTTATCCTTCGAGGATTCAACATGGGAGAGAAGTCTACGTACCACTCCCTTGAGGACAACTTCTGTATCTGTATCCTTGGAAGAGTAGACCACCCCGGGGCAGTCAATAAGGTAGATCCTGCTCATGAGGGTGATGTACTGCCAGACCTTAGTTTCCCCAGCAATGGGCGCCACCTTGCACACTTTCTTCTTGCTCAGGGTGTTGATGATGGAACTCTTGCCCACATTGGGGTAGCCAATGAACCCCACGCTGATCTGTTTCTTGTCCGGGTGGAGCTGCACACAGGGAGATATGTAACTAGGTAGCCCAATATGAGTCGTGCA